TTTTTTAGTAACAGCAAGAATGTTCGAGCAGAACAATTGAAATCACGAACAGATTTGTTGAGGGAGGCAGCCGAAAATGAAAAATCAGCTCCATCACATTCCCAGAACAGTGCTGTTAAGTAATTTTCAAATGCTTAGCATCGGATGATCAGTACAACCATACAAAACAATAGATATTCTCTAGGAAAAACCCACCATCACCTCCATCACACTCCCAGTGATGGAATATCGTTTCTCCGACATTCGCTGACTTCGCAATCGGTCCATTTGGCGAATCTCTTCGCAACGAATACAAGCACGTCGGAGGAACCGATGCTAAACTCAACGTTTCTCCAACCAACGCACTTCTGTAAAAAGCATCACTCTATTAATCCAGTTCATACATTTTCTTATGTTCTCAGGTGTTTATTTTGCACTCGTGCGCTAATAACATTGTTTCATTTTTGTATTCTGTCACAGTAGACATCAAATAAGCATTAAAACAAGAATGTCGATTCAGCAACAAATATGAATTACCCATTCACATAAAGATCAGTTGATAGATCTTGTTCACTGTCAACTTTGGGCATGAAGCACTGAATTAAATATCCTTTATCGACACCCGTAACCAGCCACTTATGATGTAGCACATTTACAACTGCGGACGTGTTCACACCTGCTGGCTCCAGCTGCAAACCTTCTTTGGTGAATGTTCGTGGAACTGATATCAATAATTTTGCATAATTCATGAGAATCATTTAATGTCAGACGAACCGAATCCACTTTTTTAATGTCACATTTGCGAGCGTCAACGAAGAAGTTAACAGAACGCATTGTTGAACTACTGTCCGATGGATAAACCACTTCTTCGACCACCTTATAGCATCCCTCATCCACAGAATGACCTATAAGATGCTGCTTATCAGATCGCTGATGCATATTCGAAAGAGATATCTGTACACACTTTTGAAATTTCCAATATTTTAATGCCTAAAATTTCCAATAAGAACGTCGTCACGTCTTCACTTGGTACTCCGAAACTCTCTCTGTTCAAAAGGTATCAAGCATGACCACTTAATAGGGTTTCGCGATTGTGGACAAAAGTATTCTTTATGCTTTGTTTGAATTTAGAGAATAAAGTGAAATTTCGGTTCCAAAGGCCGATGAGTTTCTTTTTCTGAAAATCCCCCACAACGAATGTTTTGCAACAGTGCAGTTGCGTTCTGAACAAAAAATTCAGTCAAAACCTTTCACAGTGATCATTCCACCGAACGTTTCGGGTAGTCGTATGGTGAGATTGAAGCCGTGCTCATAACATTCTACGTTAGCAATTCCAATTTGTTGCGTCGTATCGCTGAAAGGGCTCATTGATGTTGTTTGACTAACAGTTGACGAAGTCTCAACTTTCGGTAGATTTTCTTCAGTGGTCGTATTCTCTTGTATTGCCTCTTCGACCTGTCCAATGACAGCTTCCTCCATTCCAGGGGTTGAGATTCTATCATGCAAAGAATCGCTTTCCGTGGTTGCAGTGTTTGGTTCGGTCATTTCGCCATCTTCTCGAGACTCGATGAGTCCCTCGTTGTTCTCCTCATTCAAGGTTGTTTCCACGGATCCAGACGTCGCTATTGTTGTTGTTGGTTCTGTCACTGAGTGTTGTGTTGTTAATGGCAGTTGAGTGGAGTCGTTAACATGTTCTACGATGTCATCATTGGATGCCTCCAGCATGGATTGTTGTTCTTCTTTGACAGCAGCAGTTTCGATTTCGCCAGATGATGTTCGTCTTGAGAATGACGGTAACGTTGATGGCTCTTCGCTGCTCCGCTCGCTCGCTGATGTCATTTCAACTGATGATCCACTTTCGAGTTGATCAATCGTTTGTAGTGCTGAACAAATTTTGCTTCATTATTTCATATGCTTATCAAACTCTGTACATGTGCACGATATGCATATGTCCAGAGTCGTATGAGTGAGGAAATTGCAATTTCGAAATCGCTCTCTGATGCGGTAGTCTGACAAGTCCTCATAAGGCAGTGAATGGTAACGAATCGGTGTGCAAAGAACACAGAAATCGGGATAGATGAAGCGTTAAAAGGTTATGAACAAAGCGAAACACAAATTACAATTATTCCATTACCACTTGTAAATTCGCCGGATGTAGTC